AAAAAGGAAGTTTGAATATATATATATATATATATATATATATTCAAACTTCCTTTTTATTCACTATTAGACTTGCATCCTATTGTTCTTGTTTGTTCAAAGAGCCAAAATGCTATTTATTTACCTTATACAATTTGGTTTTTACTGTGGCTGAAGAAGCCTAAAAAGCTACAGAAAAGCCAAGAAATGCACCCTAAGTACTGCATTAAAATGAAACATCCCAAGAGACAGTATGTCTGGGCAAAAAGGTATCTTTTGCTAACATTTCATTAAAAAATAAAAAATATATGGAGAGAAGTATATCTCATAGAAGTGGAAAGGACCCCAAAAGTCAGAGTCCAGCCCCCTGCCTTCAATAGCAGGGCCAAGTACTGATTTTTGCCCCAGATCCTTAAGTGCCCCTTCAAGGATTGAACTCACAACCCTGGGTTTAGCAGGCCAATGCTCAAACCACTGAGCTCTCCATTATTTATTTATATTATGACAGTGCCCAAAGGTCCATCAGGATTGAAGTACAATTGTGTCAGGTGTTGTACAAAGTTATTAGATGACAGGCCCTAGCTCCTTACACTTTAATTGAAAACAAGATGCAACAAGTGAGTATTCACAAACAATCGGAGGGAAGGTGAAGATAACCGAGCATTAGAACATGTAGTTATATAGGCAATCTATGTACGACATAATGGTTCTAAACCAATATTTTATTTATTATATAAATCAGCACCCTTCACAGCCCTCTCTAGCTGCTTTGCTGAGCCTTCTGTGTTTGAAGAGATAGGTTCTGTCTGTCCCAGCATGTATTTGCACCAAAAATGTTGACCATAGGGGAGCAAAAGTGCAGAAATTTTGATTGCATGATCCTGTCTGTTTGGCAACGTGAGGATATCATGTATACATATTCTTATAATAGAAAATATATTGGTCTGCAACTTTCTGCAATTATAGTTCATCCTCTCTTAAACAGATGCTCTACTCCCACATCTCATCCTGGTAGTATTCTCTCTACTTTTCAGCCATTAAGGTCAGTCGGTAATGTGTATGTGATACAGCTGATTGGGGCAGCTGCCAGAATACAAATCCCTATGTATTCAATGTTGTGTGTGTGTCTTGGAAAAATGCTTTGCAAGTATATGACACTGCTGAGCCTTTTCTGAAATACTAATATGGATCCAAAAATACACAGAACAGGACGCTGACCTGAGTTTCAGTGAATGATGGCAGTGCTGTTAATTTCCCCCGCCCTAGTTTTGTCTAATAGCTGTCTTCAGCTATTTCCATATTCTTCCGTGTTACTCTGTCACTATTTTGTGGTTGGCTTTAGAAAAAGCATTCTGATTGATGTGCAAAGTAATGCTTCCAGTGAAATTTATTGGTGCTTGGTATTCTTACTCATCAGTTTTCATGCCTGGTGCTGGGGAAAAATAACATTTATGTAACTGATGATGGTGAAATGGTATGGGTCTTGTTAACATGAGAGAGACCATCAATATTTGTGGAGGACTGAGAAGGTAAGGCAGTTATATCCTGTACTGGTTCTTACTGGTTATAGCCTCCAAGATTAAAATGGTGCAAAAGCAACCCATGTTCCTCTCCTAACGTTAGGGGAAACAATACTGCCTTTGCATATATGGCTTGCATAGCCAGATGACTGTTTTATATGAACTTAATTTGTTTGGAAAATGTTCTTTATAGTGATAAGTTTAAGGGAGTAGATTCTCTAGCCAAGAATCCTATTTAGCACTCTATTTAAGCCACACTCTCATTCAATTCAGTGAGTTATGACTCATAAGCGCTGAACAGGGAACTTGATACAGTAGCCTGTTTAAACTGGTGGCTCTCAACTTTTCCAGACTACTGTCTCCCTTTCAGGAGTCTGATTTGTCTTGTGTACCCAGGGCCGGCTCCAGGCACCAGCCCACCAAGCATGTGCTTGGGGCGGCGCCTGGATGGGGGGGCACGGCGGGGCGCTCCGGCCTGAGAGCGGGGCCGCGACTGGGCTTGCCGCCCTCCCCGCGGCGCTCTGGCTGCCAGGGGCTCTCCGCCCTCCCCTCGGCACTCTGGCCGCGGCGGAGAGCCGCGGT